TGTCCCCTGGGTGTCCCCAATGTCCCCCCACTGTCCCCTGGGTGTCCCCAGTGTCCCCACTGTCCCCTGGGTGTCCCCAATGTCCCCCCAGTGTCCCCTGGGTGTCCCCAATGTCCCCTGGGTGTCCCCAGTGTCCCCAGTGTCCCCTGGGTGTCCCCAATGTCCCCCCAGTGTCCCCTGGGTGTCCCCAGGGTGGCGCAGGCCTACGTGACCCCCATGTCCCCACTGTCCCCTGGGTGTCCCCAGTGTCCCCAATGTCCCCTGGGTGTCCCCAATGTCCCCACTGTCCCCTGGGTGTCCCCAGTGTCCCCTGGGTGTCCCCACTGTCCCCCCACTGTCCCCTGGGTGTCCCCAATGTCCCCAGTGTCCCCTGGGTGTCCCCACTGTCCCCTGGGTGTCCCCTGGGTGTCCCCAGGGTGGCGCAGGCCTACGTGAACCAGCGCAAGCTGGAGCAGGAGGTGAAGACGCTGCAGGCGCAGGCGGCGCAGTTCGCGCGCCAGAGCGGCCACTGGATCGCCATGGTGGAGAGCTTCAACCAGGCCCTCAAGGTGGGACCCCCCCCAAATCCCCCCGGGGCCGCGGGGGTCCCACCCTGACCTGAGAGTGGGGAGGGGGCAGGGAGAGCCCCCGGGATGGTCCCAGCCCGGCCGGACACTGGGGAGGGGTCCCACCCTGGGGAGGGGTCCCACACTGGGGAGGGGTCCCACACTGGGGAGGGGTCCCATCCTGCCCTACTGCTGGGGAGGGGGTCCTACCCTGCCCTTACTGTGGGGAGGGGTCCCACCCTGGGGAGGGGTCCCACCCGGGAGGGGTCTCACCCCACTCTGACAGTGGGGAGGGGTCCCAGCCCCAGGGAGGGGTCCCACCCTGAGAGTGGGGAGGGGTCTCACAGGAACCCTCTGGGATGGTCCTGACCCACCCTGACAGTGGGGAGGGGTCTCACCCTGGGGAGGGGTCCCAACCCTGGGGAGGGGTCCCACCCTGACATGACAGTGGGGAGGGGGCAGGTGGGGAGCACCCAGGATGGTCCCAGCCCGGCCGGACACTGGGGAGGG